ATCAGGGTGAGAAGCCTTCTCAGCCAAAATTCTAGAGAGAATTTCCATGACAATAACAAAGAGATAAGGGGACATAGGGTCACCTTGCCTCAACCCTCTCTCCCCCCTGAAATAGCCATGCAGACTCCCTTTAATACAAATGGAATATGTAGGGCTAGTCATGCAGGCTTTTATCCAAAGAATAATATTAGGGGGAAACCTCATAGCATTTAAAACATCTAGAACAAAGTCCCATCTAACGTTATCATAAGCTTTCATAATATCCACTTTCATGGCACACCTAGGAGAAGGTGAAGACCTATGATAGCCCCTTATAAGCTCTTGTGAAAGAAAGATATTATCAGCAATTCTCCTCCTAGGGACAAAAGCTGATTGCACAGGATCAATGAGATCATGTAGAACAGTCTTAATCCTATCAGCAATGATCTTCGAAATACACTTATACAAAGTATTACAGCAAGAGATAGGACGAAAGTCTCCCACTCTTTCAGCATTGGGGGTCTTAGGAATAAGAGCAATGGAGGTACTGTTCACTTCCTGAAGGAGCTCCCCCGATGTAAAAAAAGATTGGATAGCATCAACAACCTCTCTCCCCACAATATCCCAGGCTTTCAAAAAGAAGCCAGCAGAATACCCATTAGGCCCAGGGGTCTTATTTGCTTTAAGGGAACGAAAAGCATCAGTGATCACTTTCACAGTAACTTCCCTATCATGATTATGATATTGAGATTCAGACACTCTTTTGGTGATAAGTCTATTAATCCTATCATACCCATTGTAATTGTCAACAAACGATTTCCTGAACAAATTAGTGAAGTACTCCACAAAAGAATTATGGACCTCATCACTTTTAGTCACTCTATCCCCATTAGGGAGCACAACACTATGAATACGCCCCTTATTCACATTACCCTTAACGGTTCTAAAGAAGAACTTGGAATTCCTATCCCCTAAACCTAGCCATTGAACACGAGATTTCTGATGGGCAAAACTTTCTTCAGCTTTACTAAGGTCAGCATATTTCACATAGGCAGCCCTTTTCGTCTCCTGAAGAGTTAAGTTCATCGGATCTTTATCAAGCTTAATCTGAGAATTAAGAAGATGATCCTTAGCAACACCAACACGGGTGGAAATCTCACTATACTCCTTTTTGTTCAAATCTTTTAGAATGGGCTTAAGGGTTTTAAGCTTCTGACAGACCCTAAACATAGGAGATCCCCTAATGTACTTAACCCAAACACCATACACTCTGGGGAGGAAACTAAAGTGATTAGCCCAAAAATCAAAAAACTTAAAAGGCTTTTTGAACTTAGCCTCCTTACCTCCAAGTTGTACAATCACTAGAGAGTGATCAGACACTCCAGGAGGCAAGAAAAGAGCATGAGAGTTAGGATTAGCAGTTAGCCACCTCTCATTAACAAGGACTCTATCAATTTTTGAAGTAATAAAATTACCACCCCCACACTTATTGGACCAAGTAAATTGACACCCTTTGTAACAAAGATTGTCCAATTCAGAGTCCAAAGCCATACTATTAAAAATGTCATTTGCACGACTCCAAACCTCATTCCCCCCCTCCCCTAATTTTCTCATAAGAAAACCGAACAGCATTAAAGTCACCAAGGAAAACAGAGGGGTGACTAGCATAATTGAGAGCAATTTTCTTTAAATCAAAAAATAGGGGAACTCCCAAATCATGCTTATTTTCAGCGTATACAAAAGTAGCAAAAAAACTGGAATCTGTATTAAAAACGTTTACTTTAACAAAAATAAACTGGTTTGATTTTTGAAGCATCAAGATATCACAGAAATTTGGATCCCAGCAAACCCAAATTCTAGCTGGCAGATCTGGTTGTGAATTCGACAAAAATTGCGAATTTTTAAAGCTTTTTTCAAAAAGTTTAGCTTCATTCTCCATTTTAACTTTGTCTCCAAAATGCTCATAATTTTAATATCTTCTTTTTTAACAAAATCAGTAACTTCTTTATGTTTTGAGGGGTTGTTAAACCCCCTAACATTCCAAAAAGAAAGTTTAATAGACATGATATAAATAACAAAAGCACAACCAGATCACCACAAAAAAGACTACAGTTATTTACCTCTTTTTCTTCTTCTGGCTTCCTGATTTGCCAGAAGACTTCTTCTTGGTTGAGCTGCACACTTTGAGCCCCCCATCCTCCTTTCCTCCCTGCATTTCAGGAGAACTTGCTCTCATTTCCTCTTTCCCCGCATTCTTGATAACTTCCTCAGCTGCTGGGTTAGCAATTTCTACAACCTCAGGAAAGGGAGGATCAATTTGGTCAGTAGCAAATTTAGCAATTTTTTCAACTTTAGGATAGAGAGCATCCCCCTCAGATTGAACCTTAGGAATTAGGTCATCCCTCTTAGTGGCAGATGAGCTGTTAGCTTCAGTAGGGACAATGTGGATAGGGGAGGATAGATCCCCTACTTTCCTTTTGCCCTTATCCTTAACTGTGGTCCACCCCCCATCATCTTCAACCCTTTCTTCAGAATTCTTCTGTAACTCAATTAGGTGTGTTACTTGAGCAGATAGGCATGTCTTAGTCTCATGGCCAAAAACATGGCAGTGCGTACATCTCGAGGCTACCCCTTGGTACTCCACATGGATATTCATAGAGATATCACCATCAGTGAGAAGAAAACTATCTGGAAAAGCCAATTCAGCTGAGATATCCACACACAATCTAGCAAAAGAGATTCTACTTCCCGAAGAGGTAAGTTGATCCATAAACAGTGAGACACCCACACGAGAAAACCACTCACATACCAAGGTCCTCTTACCTTCCCCATCCCAATATTCCAGAGGAATATTATAAAATTTCACCCAGATGGGGATGGTTTTCTTATCTTCCTTTGACAGTTTCATCATTCGATGCCACTGTTTCAGTATAAAGAGAAAACCACTCACATACCAAGGTCCTCCCTCCAATACATCAATACAACAATCCTGATTTTCAAACATAAAGAAGAAAAAACTATCATCGTTTTTCAGAATTTCTACCAGCCCCTTGTTCTTCCACATATTATTAGCATTGTTTTTGATAAGAGTGCAAGGCAGATTTTTATCAATGAAATACCCTACCAAACAAGCGTCCCATTTCACCATGGGGGAGGGGGGAGGCATCTCAACTATTATTTTATCTTGATCCATTTTAGGGGGGTAATATTTGAGTTTTACCTCTGACCTGACTGAAGAAGAAGCCACGTTAGCCCACGATCTACCCTCAGGGGGTCGATACTGCCCTCTTCCTCCACGACCACCCCTATTGTTGGTGTTTGTACCACGACCACGGTTTTGAAACCCACCACGAGTAGTACCCTCACGCCCTTCAGGGTTAAGACCCGATTCCTCAGAAACACGATCATTTTCACTCTCTATACCTCTAGGGCTTCCCTCTGCAGCAGATTCATCAACACCCAAGACTTGGTCCTCCATGACAATATCCCCTTTTTCCTTTGAAACTAGCGGCGAAAAAGATGATTTATCCACCGTATCAACATTCACTCCATGATGGTGAGTGATACCCCGAGTTTTAGTAACCTCAACACTATCTGGAAGATCCATTCACTCTCTATACCTCTAGGGCTTCCCTCTGCAGCAGATTCATCAACACCCAAGACTTGGTCCTCCATGACAATATCCCCTTTTTCCTTTGAAACTAGCGGCGAAAAAGATGATTTATCCACCGTATCAACATTCACTCCATGATGGTGAGTGATACCCCGAGTTTAGTAACCTCAACACTATCTGGAAGATCCATAAGCTTAGATCGCAGTTCGTCTTCAACCCTATCCGACCAATTGGTTGATAACGGAGTCGATAGATCTGCAATCGTGGATCCAACAGTAGGACGACTGGACTGAAAGTCTTCTTCCATCGCCGATCTAGCCTTTATAGCCGCAAGTCGATCGGAGATCTCTTGAATGGATGCTGCTGTAACCCCTCTCAGTTTCTTCTCACTATTTTGTGCACGCACAACTAGGTTTCCTAACTCTTGTTCAGAAAGATTTAGGCACTTAGGGCTAAACTCTCCGTACGACCCACTGAGGCCACTCAACTCGTTCCCTCTCTCTTCATTAAGTAACGAATTAAAGTTTCCCTTAGAAACCAAAGCATCAGATACGATTTCCATTTCAAGAATGATCCCACAGTTTAATGAAGAATTGAATGCAAACCCTAGAAACGAAATTTCTACAGAGAAGGAGGAGCCTCTCACACTAACCCATCTTCCTTCTCTCTTTTGTTCTAAGAACTAATTAGGCTTGCTAAATAATTGTTTCATAAGCTTAAGTGACCGAGTTTAATTGAAACTAATCTTGCTTGGCTTCTAAGATACAGAATTTTCTAAGCAATTGTAATTGTAGCTTAACGATACTAGTTTCACTTAAGCACCACATATAAGGTTTTCTAAATCACCTACTTGTTCAAATCTCAAGCCAGAAAATGATGAACTTGAATTCCTTTTGATTTTCTTCATATTTCTCTTTGTTTTCTATAACTTTCTCTGCTAGCCCACAAGAAGAAATTTCTCTGCAACTTTCTCCGTCCTTCTCCTATCTTCGTTCTTTGTTCTACGAACTAATTAGGTTTGGTAACTAATTGTTTCATAAGCTTAAGTGGCCAAGTTTAACTCAAGCTAATCTTGCTTAGCCACTAAGATAGCGAACTTTCTGAGTAATTGTAGCTTAACGATATTAGTTTAACATAAGTACCTCATTTAAGATTTTCTAAATCACCAAGGTGTTCAATTCTCAATTTCACAAAAATTGAATTTGAATTCTCTTTGAATTTCCTCCTATTTCTCTAACTTCTCTTCTATCTCTCAAGAAGGAAAGTTTCTCTGTAACTCTCTCTGTCCTTCTGCTTCCTTCTCTCTTTTGTCCTAGAAACTAATTAGCTTAGGTGAGTAATTGTTTCATAACCCTAAGTGGCGAAGTTTAACTCAAACTATCCTTGCTTAGCCTCTAAGAAAGAGAATTTTCTGAGTAATTGTAGCTCAACAATATTAGTTTAATATAAGAACTTCATTTAAGGTTTTTGAAATCGCCTAAGTGTTCAATTCTCGAGTCCAAAAGGTTGAATTTGAATTCCCTTTGATTTTCTTTCTATTTCTCTTTCTTTGCTCTAACTTTCTCTTCAAGCTCTCAAGAAGAAAGTTTCTCTGTAACTCTCTCCTTCCTTCTCCTTCTTTCTCCTTTGGTTCCAGAAACAAATTAGTTGTGGTAACTAATTGTTTCATAAGCTTAAGTGGCCAAGTTTAACACAAACTAATCTTGCTTACCCTCTAAAAAAGAGAATTTTCTTAGTAATTTTAGCTTGACGATATTAGTTTTACTTCAGAAACTCATTTAATGATTTCTAAATCACCTAAGTGTTCAATTCTCAAGTCCAAAATGATGAATTTGAATTTCCATTTTTTTGGGTGAATAAGACATAAGATAAAAAAAAACAGAGAACTACACAGCTACAAGGGGCATACCCAGGACCTAACAGAAAACTATACAACCGAAGGGAAAACCCGAAAACACCAGCCCAACTAACAAGGATAAAAAACGGCTACCAAGAATAAAAGAAAGAAAGAAAAAACATTACATTGAAAGGAAAAAAACCCAAAAGGATATGTGCATAAGCCGCATACATGCGAATGAGGTCCATGAACACATCCAAGCGATAACCCAAAGCTGAATCAAAAAACCAGTCCACACATACGACACAACCAGAAGCAAACACAGAGCTAAAAACCATGCACATCCCACACGGGTAAGCCAAAAAAATAACATCACATCAAAACTGTCTAACATCCAAACACAAGAATATAAATTAAAAAAAGACAAGTGTCCACAAAGGTGCTACAAGCAGCCATCAACACAAACCAGTAACCTCTATCACGCGAGCTGCCAAACAACTGAGTGCCAACAAACCAGCAGTCACCAAGAGAGGTAAAGATCTTCCTCTCCATGCAACCCCAACAGACCTTAAACATTGTAGTAAACACAAAATCCGAAGAGCCAAGAGCTTTCAAAGCAACAAATCTGCAGTCCCCAAAAACTTGACACCACTACCGACCCATGCAACCCAAGACTTACTCATACATTATAGTAGACCCTGTAAGAACAGCCATGAGTAAGTACCTCCAGCAAATAAGATACAATCTACTAGAATTTAATACAGAAACAGTGCCCTCAATATAGGATCTCACTCCACTCGACCCACAATTTAGCGGCTCACACCACTCAAGTTGTGCTTCCTTACCCTGCAGATAAAGAAATACAATATATATTAACATTAGCAAAAAATATGGTGGCTGAATACACTCAACCCACATGTGAAGTGAATAATTTATAACTCCTCTCTTCACTCAACCCTCAAATACATAGATGAATCCACAATGAACTCTGAACAGACCCTGCACAAAACCAAACCATTAAGCAAAACACTCAATATTGCTCTCCAACACTCAACCCACATATAGGGAACTCACATCACTCAGCAGCCCTCCCATATCTGATAATATAGGGCTTCAATATTGTTGTTGGTAGATTCCATTGGTCAAGAAACCAGCCGTCACTAGCAGAGCTAGGCTAATTCTTAATAGACAGCATTGTACTTCTCACCATCTAGATTACAGATTTAATAACCACCTCTTCAGGCTTAAATTCTTTGTTAAAAACACGATTATTTCTCTCAATCCAGATGTGGTAAATAGAGCACAAGAAAGCATAGCTAAGAATATTAGCCCTCAGAGATTTACCCTTAGCCTCCTTCGTAGCATATGTAACAATATCAGGCCAATCTAAAACAGGCCACTTTATGTTGCATTTGGCTTCAATAGCACCCCAAACTCTATTGGTAAAAATGCACTTAAAAAAGAGATGGGAATGACTTTCCCCAGGGTCAAGGCAGAAAGGGCATTGTGAATGAGGAGCTAAACCAAACAGAAGTAACCGATCACCAGTATACAGACTGTTATGGATAGCTACCCAGACAATGAAACTGACTTTAGGAATCCTATGAGGGCCCCAAAGGAGTTTATGCCAATCCACTCTACCAAAACTGTCTCCAATGATTCCAAGCTGAGTGAATGGAAAACTGACCATCAGTAGTAAGTTTCCAGATAACTTGGTCACACTTGGAAGGGTTAGGTTTGCAGCATTCAGGAGTTGATGAGATCAACTCCTGAATTTCCCAAGAATTAGGAATAGGCCACTTCCAAGAATGACCATCGATGATTTGACTGACTTTGGTCTCACTATTGAGGCAAGAATCATACATTATCCTGTCCCCAAACTTATTCCATAGAGGACCAAGTGGGTGCCAATTGTCATACCATAGGAAGGTAGAATCTCCACAACCAATTTGGTGATTAATTAGAGGAGACATCCAGTCCCTAAGAGACAATATTTTTCTCCAAACCCAGGAAGGGTCAGGGGGGATTTTGACTCTCCAAAAACTTCTACCCTTGAGTAAATAGGATTTAACCCACTGGCACCACATAGACTTCTCACCACCAGAAAAAAGGAACCAGACATGCTTTGCTATAGCAGCTCTATTCCAAATATCAAGAGATTTAAACCCAAGACCCCCCTCATTTTTAGGAGCACACACAGAATCCCAAGCAATCTTGGCACTATGAGTTTTGAGCTCACTGCCAGACCAAAGGAAAGCTCTAAGAATACTTTCAATCTCTCTAATAACCTTCTTAGGGAGGATAAACAAGGAAGACCAGTAAACTTGCATGGAAAAAAGGATGGATTGGATAAGTTGGCTCCTCCCCGCATAAGACAAAGCTCTGTTAGTCCAATTCTTCACTCTTTTGGTGATCCTATCAATGAGAGGAGCACAATCAGTGGCCCTCAATTTGGTAGTGATAAGGGGAACACCAAGATATTTAACCGAGAGTATGCCCTCTTTGAATTTAGCAATACCAAGAATTGAAGTGCGTAACCCCATCTCACAAACAGAAAAGTAGATGTTACTCTTGCTGGGATTAAGGGTAAGGCCCGAGAGGTTAGAAAATTCCTCAAGGCCTTCCATAACAAGTTTAACAATAGGCACATCACCTTTGCTAAAAATCATGAGATCATCAGCAAAACAAAGATTTATAATCTTAGTCTTCTCACATCTCCAATGGAACTTAAACAACGGTTGCATAGACTTCTCAGCCAAAATTTTAGCAAGAATTTCCATAGCTAAAACAAATAAATAAGGGGACAGAGGATCACCTTGTCGCAAACCTCTAGCCCCTTTGAAGTAGCCATGGAGACTCCCGTTGATGCAAATAGAAAAAGAGGGACTAGTGATGTAGGCCTGGATCCAAGAAACCATGACAGGTAGAAAGGCCATAGCCTTAAGAATATCAATAATAAATTCCCACCTCACGCTATCATAGGCTTTCATGATATCCACTTTCATGGCACACTTCGGGGTAGGGGACTTCCTATGGTACCCTCTCATAAGCTCTTGAGATAGGAAAATATTGTCAGATATTCTCCTACCTTGAACAAATGCCGACTGAACGGGATCAACAAGATCAGGGAGAACAGTTTTAATCCTGTTAGCAATGATCTTGGCAATGCATTTGTAAATAGTGTTACAGCAAGAGATGGGTCTAAAGTCACCCACTTTAACAGGATTGGGGACCTTAGGGATAAGAGCAATAATGGTACTATTGACTTCGGATAGAAGTCTTCCAGACTCAAAAAAGGTTCTAACAGCTTGAGTGACCTCTCTCCCCACAATATTCCAAGAAATTTTGAAAAAACCAGCAGAGAAGCCATCAGGGCCAGGGGCCTTATTGGCTTTAAGAGACCAAAAAGTGTCCTTAATCTCTTTATCAGTCACAGGGCTAGCAAGCAATAGCGATTGGTCAGAAGATATATATTTTTTTTTTTGGGTAAGTAATCAGAAGATATTTTAGACTTAACAAGAGACTGGATTCTATCAAACCCATTATAATGGTCATCAATAGGGGTACCAAATAAACCAGAGAAAAAATCTATAAAAGCATTGTGAATGTCCTTAGGTTTTGAAGATTTTTGGCCATCCATCATCTCCAAGTTTAAGATTTTACCCCTATTGATGTTACCCCTTACAGCTGGTTTCAGATTTTTCAATTTCTGACACACTCTAAACATAGGGACACCTTGAATGTACTGGTTCCAAATTGTAGAAACCACAGAGCAGAAATCCTCATGGTCAGCCCAAAAGTCAAAATATTTGAAAGGTTTCTTAAAAGAAGTCACCTTATCAGAGATATATATCACAACTGCAGAGTGATCAGATATGCCAGAAGGTAGAAAGGTGGCAAATGAGGCAGGGAATGCATCAAGCCAAGTCTCATTTACCAACACTCTATCAATCTTGGAAGCAATATAATCCCCACTAGTCCTCTTATTAGCCCAAGTGAATTGACAACCTCCATAGGAAAGATCAACCAGCTCAGCTTGCAAAATACGGGAATTGAACTCCTCTTTATCCTTAGACCAACTAACAGAACCCCCAGATTTTTCATAAGGGAATCTAATAGCATTAAAGTCCCCTAAAATTACAAGAGGAGTATTGGACTGAGCTTGGGAGATAGTAACCATGTACTCAAAAAATTCTTTCCTAACTTCATGTTTATTCTCAGCATAAACAAAACAGACTCTGAACATATAATCCATAGTTAAATCATGCACTTCACAAAAAATATACTGATCAGAGTCATGTAACTTTTGAACTTTACAAAAAGCTGAGTCCCAGCAAACACAAATCCGCCCAGTTTTAGAAGGTTGTGAGTTTGTCAAAAAGGGCCAATTGTTAACACCAGACGAAAAAATCTGTTGCTCATTCAAAGCTTTTATTTTAGTTTCCAAAATGCCCAATATTTTAATGTCTTCATGCAGCAAAAATTTTCTAACTTCTTTATGTCTGTGGGGATTATTAAATCCTCTAACATTCCAAGATGCAATTTTTAAAGACATTGGAAATAGCAAAAATTCAAAAACCCACAAACCAGATAAAACTGGGATTACCTGCGCTTCTTCCTCTGGCTTTTGTTGCCCTTGCCAGAGGAGTTACCTTTTGTTGCACTTGAGCCTGCTTAGGCTTGCTTGCTAGTTTGAGCTTTGCCAGGAGTAAATTCTACAAGGTTCTCCACTCTAGCCATCAATTCTATATCATGAGGGAGAACTAAACTTGTAATTTCTACCAGTTCCTTCTGAAGGGCCACCAGTCCATCCATATTATCATCCTTTGACTCACCATCTATTGGGTTCAGCACCTCTGTGTGAGTTTGATCAGGTAATGCCTCTGCGGTCTCCACCTGAACTTGCATTTCTGGTTGGCTCTGCTCTTCCTCAGATTGTTGCAAGCCATCCTCCTTAGGCTCCTCATTGTTTGCTGTCTCAGTAGAGGTATCTGGAACACCCACTTTCCTCTTGACAGTTTCCCAACCAGGGTCAAGATGATTTTGTACTTCCTTTTGGATGTTGATTAGAGCCGCAACCTGAGTTTTCACACATCTAGCTATATCATGCCCAAAGGCTATGCAGTGTTCACATTTTGGGGGTAAACCTTGATATTCGACTTTGACTATGGCATCTATTCCTTCACAGTCCACCTTAAACATAGCAGGTAAGGTAGATGCTGCTTCTACCTCAACTCACACCCTAGCAAAGGACACCCTACTACCCTATTCCATAAGTTGATCCATAAATAGAGGAACACCTACAGCACTAGCTATACGACTTAATCCGTCACTATCCCAGTATTCAAATGGGACATTGAAGAACTTAGCCCACACAGGGACCTTGGTAGCCTTTTCCTTAGACAATTTCATCATACGGGTTCATTTTTCAAGAACAGGTTAAAACCTCCAATATACCAAGGCCCTCCCTCTAGAACTGAGGTACAGCATTCTGGGTTATCAAAGATAAAGAAACTAAACCCTTCCCCATTAGCTAAAACCTCTTTCAATCCTTTATTTTTCCATAGACCAAAGGCACTATTTCTCAAATAATTATAGGACACCCCTTTATCTAAAAAGTACCCAACCAAACACGAATCCCATTTTTCTAAAGGGTTAGGACGTGGGGGAAAGTTCACACTGACATAGCCCTCACTTCGATTAGGAGACACATACCTCAGAGGGACGCTAGATCGGGTAGATGAGGCAGCCACATCTGCCCAGGTTCGTGTATAAGATTGACCTCTACCACCCCCTTGACCTCTACCTCCTCTGCCTCCTCTGAAGTTAGAGTTCCCCCCCCCTTTGAGAATGCATCTCCTCACGGCCTCCTTCCTTGCTGAAACTCGGAATAGGAGGGTCTACAGTAACTTGTGCAACTTCTACAAGGCCCAAATTTACATCTGACTCCTTTTCTATGGGTAGATCTGACTTGGATTCTCCATAGCCCTTGGCTTCATGTCTATTGTGAGCAACCAATATACTATCTGGGAGATTCTGGAACATCGGGGTGTCCTCTTCCGTACGATCCGACCATCGAGAAGTCGATAGAGAACCATCTAGGTTACTAGGTGTCAAGATTGACGGAGAAGGAGCTTTCAACCTTGCCAATCGGTTGCCAACTCTCTGAAAGTCTGAATCCATCAACTGAGTTCTTCGATCTATTAGGTTTAGGGTTTTCATCCCACCCTCAGCGTCATCGATCTTCCCTGAAATCAAAGTTACACCTACGCTTCTCTCATCAGTTGGATCCATTACTGTATCGCTCAAAACTTCGAATTTGTTGCTCACAAACCCTAGGTTATCACTCAGGTTATTCACCTTTGAACCTTCCCCTATTGAATCACTCTCTTGTAAACTCAACCGACTCTCAGAACAAAGCAAAGCATTAACTCCTAGCATCGTATTCAATGAGGAATTGAAACCCTAGAAACAATCGTTTCTAGAGAGATGCTAGAGCTTCTCACTCTAACCCATTAAGCTTAGGCCTTGAATTTCCATTTTGTTCCAATTTCTCGTTCTTTGCTCTTACTTTCTCTTCTAGCTCTCAAGAAAATAGTTTCTCCGTAATTTCTCCGTCCTTCTCCTTCCTTCTCTATTTTGTTCTAGAAACTAATTAGGTAACTAATTGTTTCATAGGATTAAGTGGCCAATTTCAACTCAAACTAAGGCCTCTAAGAAATGGAATTTTTTGAGTAATTGTAGCTTAACGATACTAGTTTCACTTAAGCACCACATATAAGGTTTTCTAAATCACCTACGTGTTCAAATCTCAAGCCAGAAAATGATGAATTTGAATTCCTTTTGATTTTCTTCATATTTGTCTTTCCTTTCTAGAACTTTCTCTGCTAGCCCACAAGAAGAAATTTCTCTGCAACTTTCTCCGTCCTTCTCCTACCTTCTTTCTTTTGTTCTACGAACTAATTAGGTTTGGTAACTAATTGTTTCATAAGCTTAAGTGGCCAAGTTTAACTCAAACTAATCTTGCTTAGCCTCTAAGAAACCTTCTCTGTAACTTTCTACGTCCTTTCTCATTCCTTCTCTCTTTTATTCTAGAAACTAATTAGCTTAGTCATAAACTTAGGTCTCCAAGTCTGACTCGAACTAATCTTGCATAGCCTCTAAGAAATAGAATTTTCTGAGTAATTGTAGCTTAACGATATTAGTTTAACTTAAGCACCTCATTTAAGGTTTTCTAAATCACCTAAGTGCAAGCCCAAAAGGTTGAATTTGAATTCCCTTTTATTATCTTCCTGTTTCTCTTTCTTTTCTCTGACTTTCTCTTCTAGCTCTCAACAAGAAAGTTTCTCTGTTACTTTCTCTGCCCTTCTCCTTCGTTCTCTCTTTTGTTCTAGAAAATAATTAGTTCAAACAACCAATTGTTTTCATAACCTTAAGTGGGAATACTTACCCAAAAAAAAAAACCTTAAGTGGGAAAGTAGAACTCAAACTAACCTTGCTTTGCCTCTAAGAAAGAGAATTTTCTGAGTAATTCTAGCTTAACAGTATTAGTTTAACTTAAGCACCTCATTTAAGGTTTCTAACTCACCTAACTGTTCAATTCTCAAGACCGAAAGTGTGAATTTGAACTCCCTTTGATTTTCTTCCTATTTCTCTTTCTTTTCTCTGACTTTCTCTTCTATCTCTCAAGAAGATAGTTTATCTGGAAGTTTCTCTGTCCTTCACATTCCTTCTTTCTTTTGTTCCAGGAACTAATTGTTTCATAAGCTTTTGTGGCCAAGTTTAACTCAAACTAATCTTGCTTGGCCTCTAATAAAGAGATTTTTCTGAGTAATTCTAGTTTAACAATATTAGTTTAATCTAAGCATCTCATTTAAGGTTTCCAAAATCATCTAAGTCTTCAATTCTCAAGTCCAAAAGGATGAATTTGAATTTCTTTTGATTTTCTTCCTCTTTCTCTTCCATTTCCCTGACTTTCTCTTCTAGCTCTCAAGAAGAAAGTTTCTCTATAACTTTCTCCGTCCTTCTCTCTTTTGTTAGCTAACTAATTGTTTTATAAGCTTAAGTGGCCAAGTTAAACTCAGACTAACCTTGCTTAGCCTCTAAGAAAGAGAATTTTATGTGTAATTGTAGCTTAACGATATTTAAGGTTTTCTAAATAACCTAAGTGTTCAATTCTCAAGTCAAAAATGATGAAGTTGAATTTCCTTTGTTTTTTTCCTATTTCTCTTTCCTTTCTCTAACTCTCTCTTCTAGCTCTCAAGAACAAAGTTTCGCAGTAACTTTCTCTGTCCTTCTTTCTTTTTTTCTAGAAACTAATTACCTTAGGTAACTAATTGTTTCGTAAGCTTAATAATTGGCCAAGTTTAACTCAAACTAATCTTGCCTAGCTTGTAAGAAAGGGAATCTTCTATGTAACTATAGCTTAATCATGTTAGTTTAACTTAAGCAACCCATTAAATATTTTCTAAATCACCTTAGTGTTCAATTCTCACGTCCAAAATGATGAATTTGAATTCCCTTTGATTCTTTTTTGTTTTCTTTTTCCTTTCTATTTCTCATTGTTTTCTCTAACTTTCTCTTCTAGCTCTCAAGAAGATAGTTTATCTCTATCTTTCTCTGTCCATCTTCTTCCTTCTCTCTTTTGTTCTAGAAACTAATTAGCTTAGGTAACTTTTTTTGGGTGGATAAGTCATAAAATTAAAGACGAAAAACTTACACCACTACAAGGGGCATACCCCAGGCCCAAACCACAATTATACAAGAATTAAAAAAAGCCAAGGAAACAAGGCCAACCCTATAAAACCCCAGGAAAAAAACGCTAACCCAAAAATAAATGAAAAAACAAAATAAAATTGCACACCACAAAACTAGAGATCCCAAGCCTACTAGCAACAAAACAAAATGTGTTCATGGGCCGCATGCAAATCAGATGAGGAACATGAACACACCCAGAAATCTAAGTAGCAAAAGACATACAAAATGAAAAAAAGAAAAATCCATGTTCCCCGTGAACATCCCACACGGGTAAGCCAAAAGCAGTCACACACACTAAACAAAACAAACACATAAAGTAACGTCTTTCTTCACACCGGAGGCGCATACAGCAGCCATCACAACGAAACATGTCCAGCTTCAGGCACCACTCTAGCTGAAAACCAAAGCATGTAGCATCAACCAACGGGAACATTGCTGCCATCCCCATACAACCCGAACAATGTTCAGACTCTATAATAGACCCTGTCATCCAGCAGA